CACCCCATCAAAATGCTGGGGCCTCGTGGTTAAAGTGTCTGCTTGTCCCCCCGAGGACCCAAGTTCCATTCCCACATGGGTACAATGTGTGAAGCACATTTGAGGAATATCAATATTGCTGGAATATTCCTAAAAACTACTTAAAATGATATTCACTCATTCCCTCACTAAAGAACTGATTCTCAAAATCAGGATAACTACGATATTGCATAGCATTCAGAAATGTAGAAATTGCATAAGACACTTACTTCTTATAATATCTATCCATCTTTGTCAAAATGCATACGACAATTATATCTCATATCTACTAAGTTTTGTCCCACATGGGTACAATGTGTGAAGCCCATTTCTGGAGTCCCCCGCAGTGATATTGCTGGAAAACTGCTAAAAGCGGCGTAAAAGTAAAATCACTCGCTCACTCACTAGTTTTTGTCAAAATATCTGCTTGAAATTGAACAGATTATCAACCAAATTTTACAGATTATTCAACCAAAAGGAAATAAAACAAGAAATATATATTCCCATATAAGTCACAATTCAAACAAATTATTACAATCTACTCATAGCATATGCATGATAAATATATCTTGGTTCACAACATCATACATATACAAAAGATTGCATCAGATATGAGAATCTACATGAAGTACAATGGATTGATGAAACAAGGTACAGACAGCATCTTCCCTGCCATATCACACCAGCTGTGCCACTACGAGTCATACCATCACACAAGACATGTGTTTAATTCCCCACAATCGTGACAGAGTGGCTATGAATTTATATTCCCGTTTAGACGGTCTGACTCAGTGCTTGACAAACTGTTATTGAGTGCTAACAGCTGATGCACAAAAGCATCAACAAACATAAATTTAATGCATCCATTTTCAAAATATTTCATCAATTCTGTACTACATGCTTTTCTAAATTTGACAGTTCTGATCAGGTTCAGCTGATATTTAGTCTTAATGTGAACATGCTGATATTGATCTGCTGACCTCAAAACAAAGATCTTACTGCAGTAATGTAAAACTATGCAGGAAGTTGAAGTGGGGTTCAAACCCATAATCAGCTAATTGTGATGCTTTTGACAACTGGGCCACCGTCAGCCGTGCCCCCTCCACTACAGTGATAACATGACTGGGAAAGCCCTAATTCCAATGAGGGAATATTGGATGATATTTGCTGTAGAACTAGGATCAAATATCGGCATCCAAGATGGTCCACATAAATCCCTTTACATATCCCCATGATTACTTAGGACATTCATCTCTCTGTTAACAGCAACCTAACCAGTTAACTTCACCTTGTTTATCAACAAAATCTGTCACAATGGAAAATAATCAACCCAAAGTCAATATTATCCAATTGGTTATCTCCAAACTATTATCAGCCAAGCACCCTGTGTATCAAAATGATACATTTACAAACTCACACTCAGACAAAAGATAATCGTTATTCTTTTATCATGTAACAGCCTACATAGTTACCTATGCACTTCATACAAAGCCAATATAATCCACTTCAGTACTGTCAAACTGTCATAGTTACAGTATTTGCCATTACAGTGACTGAGTTTGGTTTTACGCCGCTTTTAGCAATATTCCAGCAACATCACGGCAGGGGACACCAGAAATGGGCTTCACACATTGTACCCATGTGGGGATTCGAACCCGGGTCTTTGGCGTGACAAGCTAACGCTTTAACCATTAGGCTACCCAACCGCCCCATTTGCCATTACAAGAACCCATGGTGTTTTAGAGATTGACACACAAGAGCACTTAATAAAAACGACAAACAACAAGTGAAAATTTAGATTTCAGACATATCATAGAAAAATACAGTCACTAGGTTATAGTATGTATCCATTTACAAATGTTTTGGTAATGTTTAATATCAATAATGTATGATAACAAATTTATAAATATATACCAATATAGATGTTAAATTCATAATTCATATACACAAACATTGTTATATGGTAGTGTTGTTCATTGTGTAACAATGTTATATGGTAGTGTTGTTCGCTGTGTAACATTGTTATATGGTAGTGTTGTTCATTGTGTAACAATGTTCATGGTAGTGTTGTTCGCTGTGTAACAATGTTCCAAGTGTATAAAACTGTACATGTAGATTCAGTAGGGGGCAGTGTTATGTTACATTTAGATCTGTGCTAGATTTATACAGAAAGATCTGGAAATTACTGCAGGCTGCTGGTCCTAAGGTCTATTACCTCAGAGAGTCTTGTAGAAATTTCTGGACTTTTTCTTGGATATATAAGGGCAGTGAGTTACTGCCTCTCATCTCAAATGAAATCTCGATTTACCAGATTTACCAGAAGGCCAACACTGTGCATGATGATCATTATGCCCTGCCTAGGCCTAGAGTTGCAAGTTGGCGCTTACTGTTATTGAGAGGTGAATATTACAATCACTGTCTTTATTGCAATAATCACTACTTTAGTAAAATATTTCTATTAGAATTTGTACTGCCACTCGTTTTCTTTTCTGCCATAGTGAAACTTTTGTATCGATTTGTGAATTGAATTTTAGAAAATAATTGTAAATTACATCGCATTGATTTGTTGTTTGTTGATTTCAAACCTAGTTCTTTTACGGACCAATTCCTGGATAACTTTTTAGTTTCAATTTGGGAATAAACATGTAACAACATAACAACAGAAATATTACGAGAATAAACAATAAAATTCATCTAATGGATCACACTAGTTCATAGGTAGAATTTAACCAATTCAACACCGCAGGCCGAATAATCGGCCACAACGTTATGAGTCCCCAGACACCGGAGGCCGATTAATCGGCCAGGCAGTAGTCACGTCAAAATGAGACATAATTTTAGGAACCTACCTGACTTTTGATTCATATATCAAATCTATCACATTTCACAATGTCTGAAAACACTTATTAAATTTCAATTTATCATATATTATCAGCAGAATTAAAATTATAAACTATTTTTCGCAATATTATTGAAAACAACGATTCTCGGACACATGCTTCGGCAGCGGGTCCACAATAACATTGTCAAAGAGCAAAGTAACGATGTTTCGAGGAAATTATTAAATAAATTGAATAAACTAATAAATAAAATCAACAACAGCATTCATAAAAGTTGTCAAACGTACATATAAAAATGTAATTTTTAGAGTAAAATTGATATTTTATATGTCTACTATTTCCATCTTTTGTGCGATCATGTAATGCAAGTCAAGTCACTGACAAGTGACATCTCGGCTCACCGCCTCAATCTTCACGCTGGCACGATGTTTAATGTGAAAATACATACATGAAGCATTTTGTCACAGGTCATAACCTAGCACGATACGTCCAATAAGTTCCATAATTTACGTATTGGTAGCGATTTCTTGCTTAATATGTTCAGAATAGCATTATTTTACCCAAAACTTTGTCCAAATCTAAAAGATTTCGCTTACGAGGACGGTATCCATTGCCGTAATATGATTGGCTGCCTTAGGTCACGCGTGTCTGATTTTGACCAATCACAACCCTTATAGCAGACTGTGGCGAAAAAGCGTCATTAGAAACCAATCTTTATCCAATAAAATCGCTTCTTACAACTGTGAAAATACTCTTGGCAAGAGTAGTGATATTGTTGATGTTCAGAGCTTTAACGATGCCCGACATCAAACGATTTGCAGCGCATGTTATTCATAATGGGCTTCAAAACGGAGGTATTTTCAGTTGTTATGTCATTTTACCGGCGGAAAGCCGCAGATATCGGAAATAGGCGACCATACATATTGTTTAAGAAATCTGTTTATAATAATTTTCTGATTACGTAAAATGAAAATATAAAAGAAAAAGGCACGGGGCAATTTATGACATGTCACAAATGGAAAAAATCGCCATAGTTTTTGCTCCTTTCGTGGTTTATCTGGACGTTACAAATGTAAGCTTGCATTTTCATTCAAATATAAATTTAATTAAGTTGTAGTTGTATTATTTGAATAATATTATAAAAATAAACTCCATATTTATCACCAGTAGGATTAGATCTTTTAAATGGTGTATGGGATGTAGTAGCAATAACGTTTTACAAGCTTATAATTTCCTTCACAAACATAGGCTTCATCTATGACCTCAGAGTCTCTGGGAACTCGGTGTCATGGCAGAAAATGCCTCTGGTTGACTGGTGTTGAAAGAGTTAAATACACATACAGAATAATTAATCTTATTGATTATTTGATATTAGATAATCAATCAATATTTTGTGATACTTTTGAGTCTATATGGCGATACTGAAGTCTCCAATCAATGACACCCTTGCTCACCTGGTGCCAAATTGTAGGCAATTTGTAAAAGTTGAACACCTTTTCCAGGCAGATTCCAATGCCAGGCTTACTAAACATCTGTGAACAGCTGGTGAACCATGTTTATACACGCTCATAATCTGCCTGTGTTCAGTGAACTCAATAAGTTACATAAGGGAGATAACCCCTCAAGCTAGAGGGAAACCATATGAAGTGACATAAAATCGCTTTGCCACACTTGCCTCTGCAAGTCCACATGTAACATATATCAGAACCTGTGTATGTTGCTGACTGAGAAAAGCAAGGAGAAAATGTTGTATAACATCAATATAAGACTAAAACAGTGACATGCATTTGTGTGTGTGATTGTACTGTGCCACACATACTAAGATATGTTTGTGTGTGTGCCTTTTTGTACAGGTTCAGACTAATGATGGTATTCTTGTGCTAGCAAAATGAGATATCATGCCAGTTTGACATGGGTGCCCCTCCCAGACGAAGAGCACAGTCTCTCAGACAACCAGTGCTTGTTTCATCCCTTCACTGCTCAGCACCAAACCGTGTAACAACAAGTATCACCTATAAAGCCTTTTGGTATGATGCAACTGGGGATCAAACCACGGACTATCTGCTCCCCTGGCAGACACTACCTACGAGGACGAGGACAGTCTGTGAGGGCTAGGACATTCCCACGGTTAGAGTTACTCACCATAGTAGAAGTTGTGAAGATGGTTGGTGTTCTTGACCAGTACCTCCAGCTGTGCAGACAACATGTGATCGTGGAGACTGTCTCGCAGCCACGTGATCCCCTTCCCAGAGTCCTCGCAGGTCTGGGACAGCTTGTTGAGTCGCTCGATGCTCGGTGCCAGGACTGGACTCAGCCATTTCAGTCCCTGAACGAAGTCCCAGAAGTCAGAATCACTGGGGAAGTGGCTCTACAACACAAACATCATCAATGTAGGCACACTCCGGCGCACTGATGACTTAGCATAACATCACTGCTACAGATTAATTTGCATATCATGTGACCAGACTTTTCTCTTGTTTGTAAACAAAAGCGCATATTCATAATAAGAAGAGACTGGCCTTACGCAAGCTTTTCAGCGCGCTCTTCATAATGTTTTACATTGTTACATACATATTCTTCCACAACTGCGACAGTAAGGTTTATGACAGTTCATATATATATCAAACTGGATGCATTAATTGCTCTCCGTCCTCATAGTCACCACCTAAGTCATGTTTCCATGGAAACAACAAAAAATAACATTCATATCTGGGTCTAACCCCCAAAGGGCACGTCTAGTGATCATGCTTGATATGTGTACCAAGTTTGATGAAGCTAGCATGTATAGTTTGGAAGATCTGCTCTGGACAAGATGACATCCTCATAGTCACCACCTAAGTCACATTTCCATGGAAACAGCAAAAAATAAAATTCATATCTGGGTCTGACCCCCAAAAGCTATCACGAATAGTTTAGGAGATATGATTTGGACAAAGTATGACGGACACATGGACGCACAGACGCACGGAACTTGTTTCTATATCCTCCGCAACTTCGTTGTTGCGGGTACAATAAAGGATCGCTGCTACGCAAATCGAAATAGTGTTACACATTTTAGGATATTGTCTCTGTGAAACTAAACCATTCCATCAAAGAGGATTAATTATATGTGTATACTCGTCAAAAATAAAGAGTTAAGAAATATGTACATTATATTGAATGGACGGTGAAGATGTGACGAATCGTTGTTACGTGTTCGTTTATGTGTAGTGATTCAGAACAAGGCACAACAAAAGAGGAGATGAACGATGATCCTTTTTACTTGAACATCATGGCTGACTACACCATCTAATGACGTAGCACACATATCAAAGGGACGTAACTCGCAATTAGTGCGTTCACTTGCATACCACGTAACATCCCTTTTCCTTTAAAAGGAAAATAGAAAGAACACTTTAGATGAACAGTTATTAACTTTAAACTTTACCAGAACTAAACGTTGACTAGAGGCACTTTAAACGTTGAGTGAGTTGAAAAGGCTTCTTTATCACCACACTTTAACACTCTAGAGTCCATACTAATACTGAGTGATGATACTTAACTGAAACTCATCTCAACCATTTATGAGTCCTTTGGCGTAAATAAAACATCATCCTACTTGGATTTAAAGCTTCAATGGATTAACTTTAACGTTTGAGAATGAGCACTTTACAGTCTATGCATCATATTGCTTTGTTGGTTTCACGACACACGGCGGACCCGAGTTCTGTAGGGGAGCACTTGAACTGTCTCTGGAGTGCTCTCAGGAACAGGGTGCTGTTTGCTGACAGGGATGCCAGGAACAACACTAGTTGTTGTCTCCGAGTGTCATCGGACTGCACATTAACCCTCCTTCAGAGTGAATAGGAGTGTTGTCTGACCCTCAGGCTCAGGGTCGTTGTTCACAGGGTTACTGCGTCAGGCGTAACTGTTGGCGATTTCTTCTATAGGTCTGCCCAGTCTTGGACATGACAGTGTATGTCGCGACTTTTCAGCTTAGATTGCACAGTGGCTTGAGTCCATTCTTTTGTCCATGCTGAATTGGTTGCATTCTGACATGATCGCCTATGTTGAGAGGTGGGGAGTGGTTTACCAGAGTATTTCTGCGGTTATGTCTGGCAAGTACGTTCATGCGTCTGTCGACCAGGTCGGCTGTGGTGTTGGTCTCAGACAAAGGCTTGAGGTTGGAGACCGGGCTTGGCAGTTGAGTCTTCGTTGAACGTCCAAACAGGCGTTGGGCTGGGCTGGTCTCCATACCTTCAGTAGGAGTATTTCTAATGTTTAAGAGTCCTAGGTAGGGATCTTCTTTAGCTTCTCTGCATTTTCTCATCATTCGCTTTAGCGACTTTCACAGCAGCTTCTGCGGCTCCATTCGCCTTGCTGTTCCGGGACTGGATAGCTCATGAGCAAGGCCCCATGTTTCACAAAATGTCTTAAACTTCTCACTTGTGAATTGTGGACCGCCATCACTGATGATGACGCGAGGAATGCCATGGCGAACAAAGTGATGCTTCAGTTTGTGGAGCACTGTTTCTGAGGTAGTGTCTGGTAGGAAGTCTAACTTCGAAGAAGTTGCTGTAATAGTCGGTGGTTACCAAGTAGTTTCTTCCTTCTATGGTGAAGATATCACTTCCAACTTTTCCCAGGGTGATCAGGAATTTCATGCATGTAGAGTGGTTCAGGAGAATGCTTGTCACAAAACTTCTGGCATATGTCACAAGATTCTATGTACTGTCTGATGTCACTTGACATCAGGGGCCAAAAACTGTACTCTTAGCACGCCGGAGACAAGAGTTGATTCCCATGTGTCCCACATGAAGTTTTCTCTCAGCTCTTCACGCATTGAGGCAGGAATCACAACGCGTGATCCACGGAGAAGGAGACCATCATGCACAGTCAGTTCATCACGATAACTGAAGTAGGTCCTCAGTTCAGGCGAGAGATCATTCTTGATATCAGGCCAGCCTTGCACAATGACGGTCTTGAGTTGAGAGAGTATGTCGTCAGTCAAAGTAGCTGCTTTGATCTGATCAAGGCTGTGGTCTGTGATGTTTGTGTACATCACACTGTTCACCTGTACGGGCTCTAGCTGTGTCTTGTCAGGTAGAGGAGCTCGAGAGAGAGTATCCGCAATTGGAATAGTGGTTCCTGGTTGATACTGGAGGTCAAAGTTGTAGGTTTGAGTTCTGAGTAGGAGACTTTGGAGACGAGTAGGAGCTTTTGACAAAGGTTTTCTCACTATGGCGACAAGAGGCTTGTGATCTGTGATGACAGACACATGTCGGCCATAAGTATAGTGATGGAATTTCTGTAGGCCGAAGACTACTGCAAGTAGTTCTTTCTCAATTTAGCATAACGCCTTTCTGCATCAGTTAAAGAGCGACTAGCATATCGCGACAGGACGGCCTTCCTGTAATAGCACAGAACCAAGTCCATGTTCACAGGCGTCATTCTCAAGAGTTGCTGGTTTTGCTGGGTCATAGAACGACAATACAGGAGTAGATGAGACTAGAAACTTGACCTTGTCGAAGGAGTCTTGTTGAGACTTGGACCATGTCCAGGGTACATCCTTCTTCGTGAGGTTAGCGCATTGGAGTTGTGACTTCGGTCAGGTTTGGGAGAAATTTGGCTAGATAGTTCACTAGCCCAAGGAAGCGGCGTAGTTCCTCAGTGTTGGAAGGGACAGGCATGTCATGTATGGCCCTGACCTTCTCTGATCCGACTTGAGTCCGTCTCTTCGTGATCACATGACCCATGAATGTGATTTCACTGAGTCTAAGCTCTAACTTGTTGGGGTTAAGTCGAATGTTCTTTTCTTGACATCGAGTAAGGAACTGCTTGAGGTTCTCATCATGGTGATTGACATCTTTTCCATGTATGAGCACGTCGTCGGCGATGCACACTACGCCAGGTAGACCATCTAACGCTTCAGTGAGTTTGCGTTGGAATATCTCAGATGAGACATTCAATCCAAAAGGGGAGCCTAAGCCACCTGTACCTCCCTAAACAGGTTTGGAAAGTAGTGATGAAGCTGGATTCTTCATCGAGTACACACAATGCCAGTATCCAGATGAGAGATCGGCTTTGGAGAAGACACGAGACTGTCCGAGTTCATGGAGAGTGTCCTCAAGAATGGGAAGAGTATAGTGTTCCCGTTGGAGTGCTTTATTGAGTTCTTGTGGGTCAAGACAAATCCTGAGATCACCTGGCTTTTGAGTAATGGCGATTTGGCTTACCCATGGAGTGGGCTGACTGACCGAGCAACTACACCAAGCTTCTGCATACGATCCAGTTCAGCCTTCAGTTTCGGACGGAGAGCAATGCACGCACGACGAGAGGGCATGACAACAGGGGTCACAGTGTCATCCACAGAGAGATGGACGGTGCCGTCAAAACTACCTAAAGTCCCTTGAAGAACATCTTTGTAGTTGTCCTCAATTTGCACGTAAGACACTTCGCTCAATGTTATTCTCATTGAACGACACAAGTCCCATCTGTGTAGCTGCACGTACACCAAGAAGAGGGGTCAACTCATCCTCGACAATTGTGAATTCGACATTGTATTTCTTCATATTAGCTGGGTTGCTTACAGAGAGTCGTATTGACCCAAGTGGAGTAACGTCGGAGTTGTTCCACATCTTGAGATTCTTGGTTGTGGGTTGGAGTTCACCAATCTTGTCTTGAACTACAGTCACAGGTAAAACATTCACAGAAGCTCCAGGATCGATGGTGAAGATGACGTCACAGTCCGCGACTGTCATGCGACACTGAACAGGTCTCTGAGGTTTGGCTTGTACAGAGAATACCCAATCCTCCTCATGATCCAACGAATCATCATTCGATGATTTCACATTATTGACTTTGTGGTTTCTGTTTTTCAAAGAGTCACATTTAGAAGAGTAATGGTTCTTGCGTTTACATTTGGAGCATGTCTTTCCCCATGCTGGACACTGTTCTTTTATCATAACGTGAGTATTTCCACAATAAAGACATTCTCTGGTTTGAGCAGATGAGTGACTAGTAGTTTGTTGTCTGTTGTGAGACTGAGAAGAGTTTGAAGAGTGAGGCCTAGCCTTGTTAGCACCTTTCTGACTGTTCTTAGCAGGTCTGTGAGAAACTTTATTCACAAGTTCAGGTCTGAGAACCTTAGATTGAGTAGAGGCATTTTCAGAAGCTTTGCAAATGTCAATACATCTTTCTAGAGTTAAGCCTCGTTCTCTCAACAAAGATTGCTGAGTTGTCTGATCTCTAATCCCTAGCACAAGACGATCTCTAACAATAGAGGGTACACACTCCCTGCAATAGTTGCATGTTTTACAAGATTTCTGATTGCACCATGAAATGATTCAAACGCGATTCACCTTCCTTCTGGCGTCTGTTATTGAAGAC